ACCTTGGAGACCCTTCCAGTCCCTCAAGGGGCTCCAGGAGAGATGAGGAGGGACTCTGGATCAGGGAGGGGAGCGATGGAAAGAGGGAGAAGGGTTTGACACTGAAAGAGGGGAGAGAAGACATCAAGCAGTTGGGATAAATCATCTCCTACTTGGAAGCTTCTCCACTTACACCTGTGAATCACAGCCACAAGAGAAAACATACAGCAGTTCAAATAAAACTGTACCTGGTGAATCACAGCAACGAGAGAAAACATACAGCAGTTCAAATAAAACTTAAAAACATTGAATAAAAGCTTTCTCTCCAAACAAGACCAGACATGAGACCGTAACTCTCTACAGTACTTGTTCTAGCAAAAAATATAAAATATCAACCAGATTCTACAGAAGATGACTCAAGTAATACATGAGCTCACAAGGAGTCTCAGCCCCTGAGCTGAGACTCAATTAGGTAATTAATCAATTAGTTAGTTAAGCAAACTGCTACAGATGTGGCCCCAGGAACTAAGCTGTAAGTTCCTAAGCAGCCTTTTGGGGTTTTATTTTTCTATTTAAATCTAAATTTTACTTGTTTTACCTTCAGTCACTAAGAAAAAAACAGCAGCTGAGCTTTTTCCATTCTTCTCCCTTGGGTTCTCCCGGAAAGACAGGGAAGATGCCCAATTTTAGGTGGACTCCTCTTCTCTGGCTGCAGCTTCCAAAGGCTTCTGTGACAAAAAGTGCTGTTGCAGTGTTAATTTAAAGCAGAACTACAGTTCCACCCCCAGCAAAAGCTTCCCCTTCCTTCCACCCCCAACAAAAATATCGTTAAACAAACACACAAGTACTGCCCATGTGCCCAACACTACGAGATCCAAGATGAATATTTTTAATTTAAAGATAAAATAAGCTACATCAGTATCTGTGTAATAAGAGATTATTTTTTTTTTTTAGGATAAAACTTTCTATTTTGGTGATATGGCTGGTGCTCAAGCTGCAGTTAAGACCCAGACATCTCCTGCAAGGCCTTCACTTGAGCCATCCAAGAGCTTGTCCTTCAGACAAATCCAGGAGCTGGGTGGGTTTTGTCTATTGGGTTGCAACCAGAGTCTGCCAGTGGAAGAGGAAACACCACTTCCATCAGTTGCCAGTAGCCCACGGGTTGGTGGAACTCAAAACCCAACAAAACAGATCTGTTTTTCCACCTTTGCATCTCAGGGTACTCACCAGGTGCTGGAGGAGCTGAAGTGACGCGGAGAGTGGTGGTAGCACCTCATAGATTCATCTAGTTTGGAAGGGGCCTTTAAGATCATCTAGTCCAATCCTCAACCTAACCCTCAGAAATGGAACCAGACCTTCAGAAAGAGCCTTTCAACAGCCCAAGTGATCAGCACCCAGCCCTCACGGCAGTTTTGGACTCTTTGTGAAGTTTCACCTGCACCATCTTTTAGCAAAACCACCATCAGCAGATGAATGTCCCACCAGTCTCACTGCTGCTTCTATTTTACAAGTGAAATTTTGGATGAGATTTGAGTTATGCACACTCAGATGCATAAGAATGTACTGCTTACTGCTGCTATTTAAATCACTTGAGTTAATAGGCAAGGAATACATTAAAATTTAAAAAAAAAAACCCTCTAAAATTATAAGTTCTAGAAGAGAAAAGCGACCTAGAAAATCCAATTGTCCTCTGAACGGCAATCGCACTAAGTTTGGAAAGCAAATTTGCTAATTAAACTGAAACAGGGGGTTTCAGCAGTGCTTAAAGTGCTAATTTCAGCTCCTCATTAAACCCTGAGTCTCCAGCACCTCTCTCAGCAAGACCAACGAGAAGTTTTTCCACCCAGAGCCTGGAGACCACTTGGGCTCTTCCAGCAGCACCTTTCCAGCTGCTCCCAAGAAGCTTCTCCTCCCTCCAGCAGCACCAAGAGGGTTCCCCCCAAATCACACCTCGTGCTCTCTCCAGCCATTCCACCTCAGGCTTTCATGGCCGGTTCCTGGCATTTGCCAGCAGCCAGGAATTTGTGGAAAAAGGGGAAAACGTCCATCCTTCCCCCTTTTCAGTGGTCTTCTCATAGCCCTTCACCACCTCCTGATGTAAATCTGGAAGCACCAGGGTCTCCATCCCTCCCAAACACCTCAGCTCGGGGTTCCTCAATCGGTTCCTCAATCAATTCCTTCATGTCATTGTCCAGCAGAAAGTATTTGCCATTAAAACCACTATTTTTAACATTTCTGTACACTAGTGGTCAGGAAACAAAGATAAAATTCAGGTGAGTACTACCTGAGCTCCTGCAGAACCAGTTGGTTAAACGTTAACAGCTCGTTAACGTGCAGATCAGCAGAGACCTGGCAACACTTTCTGGCCAAGGTGCTTCCAGGGGTAGATGGCAGCCCACCAGACATCCCGGACTAGGGGAAAAAAATGATAAAAATTAGAAAAAACCGTGGAGGGGTCAGGATGGCAACGGAGAGGGGTGTCCCAGCTCTGTGCTCTCACCCTGTTTCAGTGTCACCCGTGTCTGTCCATAGCGTGGCCATCAATGGTTTTGGGTGGAGAGCACCAGCTTTTCTGATCAATAACTCCTCGCCGCATCGATGAGTTTTATTGCCCACCGGTTTAAATGGGAATAGAGCACTTTAGGTTAAAGGGGGTATCAGTCCCACACGCTCCAAAACTGCTCCACAAAGGCAATTACAGCCACAATAATCTCATTTCTACATTATTGACCCAATGAACATGAGTCATGTCTCGGGTATGAGGCACCTCCATCACCCAACCAAACGACAGGTCATTTTGTGTGCCCTGTTCAAAAGAAAACCCCGTGTTTTAGCTCAGAATCATAGAATCATAGAATGGTTTGGGTTGGAAAGGACCTCAAAGGTCATCTAGTTCCAACCCCCCTGCCCTGGGCAGGGACACCTCCCACCAGAGCAGGTTGCTCAAGGCCACATCCAGCCTGGCCTTGAACCCCTCCAGGGATGGGGCAGCCACAACTTCCCTGGGCAACCTGTTCCAGTGTCTCACCACCCTCAGAGTCAAAAATTTCTTCCTGAGGTCTAATCCGAATCTTTTTTCTTCCAATTTAAAACCGTTTCCCCTTTATCCCACAAAGTTCATTAAAACACACAGCCAAGATGATCGGCGGGTATTTACCCTTTTTTTTGCATTTATTCAAGGCAAAGAAGAAACATCCCCACAAAACACATTTTCAGCAGCAAAAAACCTCGGTGAGAGAGTGATCGAGCACTCCCTGGATAACACCGGGGCAAGAAAAAACAGGGGGAAAAAAAGAAAAAAAAGAACATTAGTTGATCAAAGGGAAAAGAGATGATTTTTTTTTTCCCTTTTCTTTTCAATCAGAGAGCAGTAGGTAGGGTTATAACCTATGCTCTAAGCTTCCCTTTAATGGCAGTTAGTCTATAACGAGTTGACCCAACGACCCAGCTCCTTGTCCCACGAGGGTTATTAAGAACCAGAGCACGTCACCTCCACACAAAGCCCATTTCAGGCTCTCACTCCAGCTCAGAAGATCCACATCAGCCCGAGTTGGAGGCAACCCTCCCCACCAGATCCCACAGGAACCATCACTCCTGGATACCAGCCCCATTTACAGCCCCAAAATATCCCTCCTCTCTGTAGGGGGGACAAAAATCAGGAGCACACAAAACCCTGCACTCACCTTGATTATTTTTTTTTTTTGCTCCTTGATGTCCTTTTCTCGACAGCCTCCAACAGCACGAAGCGTTGGCCTCCTTCCAGCCCTGCTCCCAAAGGAGAAAATAAAAGAAATAAAATAAATTATGAAGTGCTCACTCTTCCAGGGACCTCCTGGTGTTGGAGGGGGGAAGGAGATGGAAATTGGAACCACTTTGAGCCAGGGAGGATTTTTTCTTTCCTCCCAACGCTTGAAGGTTTGGGTTTTGGGGTTTTTTGGTGGGTTTTTTTTGTTGGGTTTTTTTTTTTTTTTTTTTTTTTGAGTTGTGCCGTGTTTAGGCTGAGCCATCTCTTGTACCTCCCAAGGCAGGACAGCAAAGGTATTAAAAGATAATAATACCACCAAAGCTGGTTGTGCTCCCCAATTCAACATGCTTGGCCCTCGGCGAAGGACGTTTCAAACATCCATGATGAACGTGCTGTTCTTTCACTAATCCTGCTTAATGACGTCTTTTTTTTTTTAAATGAGGTTTTGATCTTGATGGCAGGAAGCGTCTCCCTGTGCCATTCTGCTGCAAACCTCATGGGAGACCTAAGGGGAAAATAAAAACCCCATACCCCTGGACAAAGTGAAAGCTGTTGGTTTGTCTCTTGGTTGGTAGCGACCAGCTCCAGGGAGGGAATAAAGCTGTTGGAGGAGAAGAAAAGCCAAACCCACACAGCCCAGCTCTCAGAACCTCACCAGGAGGATCCATACACCCAACCTGGACCAGCTGAAGCCACCACCTCATTTCCAGGGTCTGTCTCCAAGTTGAACCCTGCCCAGCAAACACCTCATCCCCCAGGAACACCAAGATCCATCACAAATGGGCTGCCTTACCTTCTCAGCTTCTGATTTAACACAAGCACAAGAGCAGTACATGGGGGAAAAAAACCCATCCCAGGCCACCAACCCCTTTCTCCAGGGCAGCTTTGGCCACATCAAAAATCACACACACTCCCAGCCCTCTGGTATTTCATCCACCTTCCCCCGAGGTTTTGAAGCCTGATGTCACCTGAACCACACTTTTGAGAGCAGCTACGTGGGGGAAAAAAAACCACCCATCCCAGGCCACCAACCCCTTTCTCCAGGGCAGCTTTGGCCACATCAAAAATCACACACACTCCCAGCCCTCTGGTATTTCATCCACCTTCCCCCGAGGTTTTGAAGCCTGATGTCACCTGAACCACACTTTTAGGTCTCAAGGCGTCCGTATTGAAGAGGTCCATTGAGGTGGTGGGTTAAAATACTTTATTGGTGATGACATATTCTCTGTGCACATTAAGCTTTGTACAAAAAAAACAAACCAACCCACCCTCCATTAACACCAGAGTGAGCGACAGCCACCGGGAGCTTCGAAGGCTGGTTTGGCCCCCGCTTCTGCAGAAGCAAAAAATAATGTTAAAAAAACCACAGCCAACTCGGCCACACCAGTTGGACTCCACCAGCAAACCAGTCCTGCAGTTCACAGCATGGAAAAATTAAAAACTCCTTCCCAGACGAGCCTGGTTTGCTCTCACTACGGCCAAAGGGACGCACGCGAAAGGTTGGGCATCTCCTGTCACGTTCCTCCTTTGGGGTCCTGCCTCCCACTTCTGATGCTCCACCATCCAGTGCCGGTGTAGTTTAATCAAGACTAATTTAGAAAAAAAACCTCATCTCAAGAGCTCTAAGCCACAGTTGGGGAAGAAGTTTCCACGTCCTCATTTGTCATCCAAGGGGCTCTCCGGCAGCAGGGCGCCGCTGGAGCTCTTGCCTTTGCGGATGCACATGCCACAGTCCAACCGCTGGAGCTCTTGTTGCCTTTGCGGATGCACATGCCACAGTCCAGCTCCACGTCGATGTCCCCAAATTTCAGCTGGCAGGACTCGTTGCAGCTGCGGGAGGGACAGGGAGATGGGTCAGGAATTTGCAGGCAGTGGGAGCCGTCACCTCACCCACCCCAGGCTGCTTGGGAAGGCTGGTAAGGACTGGCTCCTCCCTGGTGGCACCAAGACATTCCTGTTTTGTGGCCAGTAGGGTGAGGGGGGGGGATTCTACCCCTCTGTTCTGCTCTGGGGAGACTTTCCCCCAGTGCTGCCTCCAGCTCTGGGGCCACCAACAGCAGAAGGACATGGACCTGTTGTAACAGGTCTAGAGGAGGCCACGGAGATGCTGGGAGGGCTGGAGGACAGGCTGAGAGAGTTGGGGGGTTTACCCAAGAAGAGAAGGCTCCAGGGAGACCTTCCAGTCTGTCAAGGGGCTCCAGGAAAGCTGGGGAGGGACTCTGGATCAGGGAGGGGAGCCATAGGAGGAGGAGGAGGACACTGAAAGAGGGGAGATGGAGCTGAGATGTGGGGAAGAACTTGTTTGGTGGGAGGGTGGGGAGAGCCTGGCCCAGGTTGCCCCAAGAAGCTGTGGCTGCCCCATCCCTGGAGGGGTTCAAGGCCAGGTTGGAGGGGGCTTGGAGCAACCTGGGCTGGTGGAAGGTGTCCAGGTTTGGGTTCCAACCCAAACCATTCCGTGATTCCAGCCAAGTCACGGACTAGCCCATGCTCAGACGTGCATGGACACCCATTGTTCTTATCCCATGGGATGCTGGTGGCTGGATTTCCCAGGGTAGCATTTGGTCTAGGCATTTCTCTCTGGCCATCCCACCTCACACACGGTGTTGGGAACCCCCCAGGACCCCTCTCCCCCACCTACCAGCGAGATGCAGCAGAGTTTGCTGCCAGGACGGCGAGCGCGCCCGCGTAGTGCCAGCAGAAGCACATGGTGAGGAAGATGAAGTTGTTGGGGTCGGTCTGATCCCAGCCTGGTCCTCCCCACGGAGGGAACAGCACAAACCCAATCTGGTTTCATGGACAGAAGAGGTGTTAGGCACCACCACGTGTCAGGCTTTAGCACATCCCTCCTTCTCCTTTCCTCCTGGTTTTAGTCCATAGAAGCTGGCTATGGACTAGGAGCACAATAATCCCTAATAACACCTGGACCACTGCCCTCAGCACCTCCAAACACACTTGTCTCCCCAGACTGACACAGGAGTGCATTTCAGGAAGAGAAGGTTCCTCCAAAGCTCATCATCCCCAGAGAAAGCTGAGAAGCCAAAGGCCACCTTCCCAGGCTGCGTGTTTCTCCCTAGACCCAAAGCTGGGTCATTAATGAGAGGTTTCCAAATATTTCCAACTACTTTGAAGAAACAGAGGAAGAAATTGGACCTAATAAAATCATCGAAACCCCCTGATTGTGGCTTCCCACCCTTGTAGGGTCTAATTTCCATTTAGGATGCAGGTTTGACCCCGCTGCATACATTACACATGCATATCTCTACGAGGACAGCTCTGGCACTTGTCCTCCACTCATTAGCTAAGATATTCCAACCAATTTAGAGGTCTAACCCCAAGAGAAGTGCCATAAAGGGCAGAGCAGCCCCCCTCCACCCACCTTCCTGGCTGTGAAGCCCACTGCTGGGAGGAGAGCACTGGATGCACACTGACCTGCCAAAGCCAAGAGCCCTGGAGAAGGAAGGAGCTGGTCCTGATGGTCTCCAGGATGATGTGGTCTCTGATGAACACCTCGAGGAGGGCACAGAAGGCTCCAACGAAGATAGCCATGGCCAAGAGGGAATGGAGGTGGTGGTCCAGCGCACCGTCGTTGTAGTCATGGTAATAGAAGAGCAAACCTGCCAAGATTCACACTGCATTAGAAAAGGACGCTGTGGGATTTGGGGTTTTTTTTAAGAAAAAAACACCTGAAAACTGAGACTGTCCTCCAGGTCTTGCTATGATCTGCCTGGTGGGAAGAGCCAGACAGCAAACAGCCTTTTATTGTCACCTTCACCCTGCAAGGACCATGCAGCCCCAACACTGGGGTCTGCTCTGCCTGCAAAGTAGCCCCCATAACTGTGGGGATCCCCAGCCAGGGCCATAGGGCTACCAGGAGGAGCACGAGGATGGGGACCTTCATCTTGAGAACTTTACATCAGGGTTCATCCTTCTGTGCATCCAACCAAGGTGGGGGGACACCACCTTTTTTTATGACTCCAGAGAACTCCAGCTGCTTGTCATCAGCAGGAACACACACCCCAAGGACCTCCTGCATCTCCTGTGCACCTGAGGCACCCAGCCATGGCCAGATTCATGTTTGGGAAGGAACAGGGAGGGGGTGCCATCTCAACCCCTATAACTGTGGGGATCCCCAGCCAGGGCCATAGGGCTACCAGGAGGAGCACAAGGATGGGGACCTTCATCTTGAGAACTTTACATCAGGGTTCATCCTTCTGTGCATCCAACCAAGGTGGGGGGACACCACCTTTTTTTATGACTCCAGAGAGCTCCAGCTGCTTGTCATCAGCAGAAACACCCACCCCAAGGACCTCATGCATCTCCTGTGCACCCGAGGCACCCAGATTCATGTTTGGGAAGGAAGAGGGAGGGGGTGCCATCTCACATCTGCACACCCTCCACCTCTGGCTGCTTGCACAGCACCTCACCAGCCTCAAAACATCCCAGGAATTTGGGGCTGCTGCACATGGGTGACCCTCCCAGCCCTTCCCCTCTCCATGTTCTCCCAGGCACCGTGGGTGATTCACCTTCCACGAAGAGAGACTCCAGCTGCTTGTCATCAGCAGGAACACACACCCCAAGGACCTCCTGCATCTCCTGTGCACCTGAGGCACCCAGCCATGGCCAGATTCATGTTTGGGAAGGAACAGGGAGGGGGTGCCATCTCACATCTGCACACCCTCCACCTCTGGCTGCTTGCACAGCACCTCACCAGCCTCAAAACATCCCAGGAATTTGGGGCTGCTGCACATGGGTGACCCTCCCAGCCCTTCCCCTCTCCATGTTCTCCCAGGCACCGTGGGTGATTCACCTTCCACGAAGAGAGCCACGGACAGCGAGAGCCGATCTAAGCCCCGCGGCAGCTTGAGGGAGGCGTGGGAGGCGTCCACGATGCCGGAGAGGAGGAAGAAGAGGTACATGGTGGTGTAGTGCCAGTGGGTGAGGTCGGTCCAGCTGTGCGTCTTGGGGTTGTACAGCTGCAGGTGGGGACCAGCAGGAATGAACTGCTCCACCAGTATCCCTGGGCAGAGAGAAGGAAGGACAATCTTGCAGGAAGACTTTCTTTGCAGTGGTGAAGTCCTAGTGCTATTTGCTGAGAGGATCCCATAGCAAGGTCTCCATCACAGACCGTGCCACCAGAGTGTCCCCAAGCCCTCCCACACCGGCCACTTCCAACTACAAACAGCCCCAGTCTTGTGGGAGAGAGCGGCTGAAGTGCCAGTAGATACTGGGGCAGAGACTCATCATTATCATCATCTGAGGGAGGTGGTTGAGGCACCATCCCTGGAGGTGTTCAAAAGACGGGTTGATGTAGTGCTGGGAGGTCTGGTTTAGTGATGATGCTCCTTGTTTGTTGTGTGGGTGTCTATTTTTGTCAGTCAGGTTGATGGTTGGACAAGATGATCTTGAAGGTCCCTTCCAACCTAGAAGATTCTGGGATTCTGTGATTCTTACCTGCCAGAGCAAAGAAAGCTTTGACTGCTCCTTCAAAGACTTCTGCTCGCTGGACCCCATAGCTGGGCTGGCTCTCGGCATTGGCTTTCCGTCTGAGATACTTCAGGGGGTATCGTATGGACCACCAGAGGCCAAAAATGAAGAAGAAGGTGCCCCGGAGGGCACTGCCGAGGAAGCTCGTTGTCATGGGTCTGGCTTGCTGGACCTGCAAGGACAAAGAGTGCCTGGGGACCGACTCAAAGTGTCCCCAAGAGAGATGTCGGGTTGATCACTTGCTCAGCGTCCTCAGGGACCCGCATCCCAACAGAGCAGGGGTGCACAACTCCAACATCAGCTGCAAAGAGGTAGTACCAGAGATGCAACATCATCAGGACTTCATAGACTCATAGAATCATAGAATTGTCCAGGCCGGAAGGGACCTCCAAAGGCCATCTAGTCCCACCCCCCTGCAGTCAGCAGGGACACCCCCAACTAGACCAGGTTGCCCAGGGCCTCGTCGAGCCTCACCTTGAATATCTCCAGGGATGGGGCCTCAACCACCTCCCTGGACAACCTGTTCCAACCTTCATCATACCAGAGGAAAAACCCACATCAGTGCCCAAGAAAGCATTAACAGCTACACGCTCTTAGAAGAGGAACCATAACAAAGTTTTCCCTAATAAAAAGCAACATAACAATTATCTCCTCGGAACATAAACTCCCTCCCAACTAGATAATTAGCAGGGTGTGAATCCAGCCGGCGTGTACAGCAGCTCCAGCCAGCCAAGGCTTTGCTGGGCCCTACCGCCTGCGCAACAGGAGGCGACGGCAACCCAAGAACCATCATAACTTCCCAAAGGAGTCTCATGCATATTCCACACAACCTTCGTGTCACACACCAGCGTTGTTTTGACACAAGAGAAAGAGATCTCATCTCCTGTAGGAAGAGCTCGAAGACTAAAGCCACGCCAGCGGTGATTTGGCACAAGAGAAAGAGATTTCATCTCCTGTAGGAAGAGCTCGAAGACTAAAGGCATGAAAATTGCCTTCATGCTAAGCTGGACCAGCACCACCAAGTACCAGCAAGGGTGGAGAGGAGCAAAGGTAGGGTAGCTCAATGGGCTCCCACAGACAAAGTCATATCCTGTAAAGTATTTAAGCCTATACTCAAATTGTTGAAAAAAAAAAAAAGCCCAGAGAAGCAACCACAGAAGGGAACAAGCAATGATCTAAAAGCTTACAGCAGCCAGCTTTCGATGTTACCTTGGGATGGTCTTGTTCCCTCCAACAAGACCTCTCTCCTTGCTCTCTGTATGCTTCTACCACCTAAGGAGGTCTCGCTCTTTCCCTCCTCATGGGCTTCCTGGTCCTTTTCTACAGCTCGGATCCGCAGGGAAGAAGGCATTACTCATCCTGAAGCTACCACACCGACTTGCCCTTGCATCACAAATCACATCCTCGCTGCGTTTATAAATACCAGAGCAAATTGCAGAGGCTGGATGAACAACTCCAGCACGTTCTTCGAGTCCTCCCACACTAGAAAGTAATTAGGTGCTGCAAAATAAGGGTAGGAAGTGGCGTGGCAAGTGCCTAAGGTGAGGGAGAACTCTGCAAGAGATGTCCCTGGTTGGGTTTTGGCTGCCGAGCTGGAGTCGTTGGAGGTGGCTCAGCCCTGCGTGGGCGAGCTCCACATTTGGGTTTGGAGAACATCATCATCCATTGCATCTCCAGGACACGGGTGATCTGGGGAAGGCTCAAAGCTGTTTACACCGTGTTAAGGTTTCCTTTCAGGAGGGAAGTTACTAAACAGCCTTTCAGGTGGCTGAGAAACGCCCCGTCCCAGGAGCTGGCTCGGGGATGGGTGATGGTTTTCTGCTCCATTTTGGATGCCTACATTATGGTGAGATGGCCCAAGCCCCATGTCTTTCCCCATTATAGCCTGGGCACCCCGTCCAGGGCACACACCTCCCCTGCATAAACATCTAGATGCTGAAGTGACTGAGAACAAACGCTATTAAGGCACGTTTAAGCAGCTCCCAATTGCATGATACATAACCAAATGTTACCATTGTCCTACAGGGACTGTGGCTACAAGGGCAACCGCCCGAAGCTGGAGTCAGGAGCCATCAAGATACCCAGCAGGAGTGTTAATTTGACATGCATGATTGGAGGAGAGCAGAGGCATCCCGGTGCCCAAGCATCAGGAATGACAACAGACACATCCCTCCTGCAGCTCCAGAGGTTCTAACCCAAGGATTAATCACCCCACATCCAGGGGACATTCCCTCTTGACCTGAGGGACCAGCAGCCCCCAAACCACTCCGATTCAGGTATGTCCCTGGGATCTCCTACCCCAACCAGCTGAGTAGCTTCATTCATAGAATCATAGAATCGTTCAGGTTGGAAGAGACCCTTGGGATCATGGAGTCCAACCATCTACCCTACTCTACATAGTCCTCCCCTACACCATATCCTCTTCTTTTTGGGTCTGGGGACCTTTTTGCTTTGTAAGCCCTCAGCAGCCCCATTCAGCAAGGCTTTTCTCTTCTTTTTGGGGCTGGTGACCTTTTTGCCTTGTAGCCCCTCAGCAGCCCCATTCAGCAAGGCTTTTGGTGGCTGTCACAAGTCCCCTTTTACTTCCCACCACCCAGACACGGCTCTTCAGCAGCCACCACATACCCTGGGGCATCTCTCACTCAGCCAAGACGTCCCAAACCCACCCTTTTGTCAAGCAGGAGCTCGGAGGCAACCCACTCGAAAAGCAAACCCCACCAAACCACCACCTCCTTTTAGAAAACAGCCACTTATTTCGAGGAGAAACCAGGCGCGTTTCCAAAGCAACAGTCCACTCGCACAGCTCGTGGGTTCAGGGCACAGCAAAACAACATCCCCCGCTCCAACATCTCCACCACCCCACCAAAACCTGGTATCTCTCACCCTCCAGCTTCCCCTGGAGCCCACGCTCACTTAAAAGCTGATGAAGCTCCAAGAGAGCTTCAGCCGGGGAAGGGAGCGCCGGCTGAGGAGAGGCACCAGGGTTATTTATTTTTCCTGGGAGCCAGTTTGTCTGTCAGAAGACTTGAAATATGGCTGCAGTCAGAAGTTATTACCTGAGCTGCCCTTCTCCCTCCGCAGCTCCCGGGCTGCGATGCTCCTGCTTAATAGCCATATGGGAACTGCCTGCTCTCCTTACGGTGCCCTGCACTGACTGTTCAAGCTCCACTCAGGAAGGACAACGTTTCTCCCCAATTTCCTGGCCCTCCCCCCACATCCATGGCAGCTCCAAGTCCATCACCATCCATGGTTTCCTCTCCATGTATGGATTTCTTCACATGGATGCAGAAGGATGGGTGCTACCAGGAGGATGCTGTCCATGGGGACATGTGTGTACCCTCTACGAGCACCCATGGGTGCAGCCATCAGCCTGGCAGGGGTAGCAGCATCCCAGGACAGCCAGCCTGAATGCACTCAGCTATGGTCTTCTCTTTGTGGATCCTCCTCCATCCTTGCTACCCGGGCACATCTCCCTGGTGTCAACATCCTCACCCAACAGAAGAGGCACAAACTCCCTCTCCTGCCCATCCTCTGCCACGATGCGCCTCCAAAGCCTGATAAATCTCCTCAAAAAGAGAGCTAAAGCCACAGATCACCAACAGATTGTCTCCATCAGCCTCCTTGGTGGCTCTCCTCACACTGAACCTTTGCTTTGCAGAGATGGACTCTCCCCACAACCCTTCTTCCCAAGCTCAAGCAGCCATGTCCATCCCATCCCAAGGTGTTCCTCTCCCTATGGGCAGGAGACTTTACCTGTGGCTCCTGCCTGTCCTTCTCCCTCTCCAGATGTGGCAGCAAGGAGTGGCTGTTACTCACGGGAGGCAGATAAAGGGAGAAGCCACCACGGGGAGGTGGCCCTCAGACAGGATGTTTAGAGCTGAACATCCTGCGGGCCAGTTCAAGGCGCGCTGAGTCAACCGGCTTTCACAACCTGGGACACCTCGTGTCTGCTATTAAGGAGAAAAAAAAAAAAGAAAAGAAAAGAAAAAAAAAAAAGCAAAGCCTCCCAGAGTTTGCCACAAAAATCAGGATGAGCGGCCAATCCCCGTTCCCATGGCAACCACGTATATTTAGTTATTATGTTGGGTTTTTTGGATAACTGGGGAAGGAACCAAGAAGAGACAAGGCTGTATCGTCGCCCAGGATGGCCAGGTTCTGCTGTAAGGGCTCTGAAATGTCTAAACTGGGCTGCCAGGTCCATGATAACCCTTTCTGGGGGGTGTCTGGCCTTATAAAATGTGCCTGGAGGCAGGAGATTTGGGGCCAGGAGATCGCAAACCAAAGCGGAGCCCTTGTGAGCTCCATCTCCCAGCCCAGAGCAACGATAACCCCTTTTTTGGGGGGTGTCTGACCTTATAAAAGGTGCCTGGAGGCAGGAGATTTGGGGCCAGGAGATCACAAACCAAAGCAGAGCCCTTGTGAGCTCCATCTCCCAGCCCAGAGCAACCAAGAGGAGGGGGAAGGTGGCCCTTTCTCCCCCAAAAGATGGGCTGGCAGGACACAGCAGCCTCTTCCACTCCTTTTCACCTATCTGATACTTGACACTCCCCCACGCCAAGCACCCCCAGACACGAGCCAGTCATCACATCCCCGATGGCTGCCCAGCCTTAGAACCTCACCAGATGTGTTGATGAGCAACACAAGTGCCTCAAGGCAACCAAATACCATGGGCCACCCCGGCGTCCCCACCTCCTTCCGAGTTGATGGTGCTAAAATATCCTCTGGAGCACTGCCCAAGCCTCCCACCACCTGAGGACCACTGACAACCACTCCCTGCATTCCCAACGTGGTCTTCCCCCAGGTTTGCAACCACAGGCACATAACTCCACGTGCCACCAAAACCACCTCAAGCATGGCTGCAGGACAAGCCATGCCCAGCCCTTCCAAGAGCCACACACGTGAGCAAGTGCCCCAGGGAAGCCCCAAGGCTGGAAGAGCATGGAAGCAAAGCAGCCTGCACAACCCTCCTTGGGGTGATGGGCTTTTCTCCAGCACAGCCACAGAAGCTACCAAGCCATAGCCAGGAGCTCTTTTATCCCCATTATCTCCATATCAGCAGAAGCAAGTAGGAGGAAGGAAGGAAAACAAGGAGGTGGCCATTCTGCTGCATACACCCATCACCGCTCACCTCCAAGATGGTTGAGCACAGCATCCTGTCACATCAGGGAAGCCCACAAGCAGCAGAGGGGCTTCCACAAACACACAGAGCTTCACCCAAGCTTCAGGAGCTTGACAAGCCCAAGCACAGAGAGAAACACAACCCCCACAGGAGATCTTTCTTACAGACCTACCCCTAAAAACAATAAAGAAAACAGAATCATAGAATGGTTCAGGTTGGAAGGGACCTTAAAGATCATCTCATTCCAACCCCTCTGCCACAGACAGGGACACCTCCCACCACACCAAGTTGCTCCAAGCCCCCTCCAACCTGCCCTTGAACCCCTCCAGGGATGGGGCAGCCACAGCTTCTATTCCAGGGTCTCACCACCCTCACAGCAAACAAGTTCTTCCCCACATCTCATCTCCATCTCCCCTCTTTCAGTGTCCAACCCTTCCCCCTCCTCCCATGGATCCCCTCCCTGATCCAGAGTCCCTCCCCATCTCTCCTGGAGCCCCTTGAGGGACTGGAAGGGGCTCTGAGGTCTCCCTGGAGCCTTCTCCAGGCTGAACCCCCCAACTCTCTCAGCCTGTCCTCCCAGCAGAGGGGCTCCAGCCCTTGGAGCTTCTCCGTGGCCTCCTCTGGCCCCACACCAACAGGTCCATGTCCTTCCTGTGCTGAGGACTCCAGAGCTGGAGACAGTGCTCCAGGTGGGGTCTCCCCACAGTGGAGTAGAGGGGTGGAATCCTCACCCTGCTTTTGATGGAACCCACGATGCCAGGGGCTTTCTGTGCTGCCAGGGCACTTTGATAGCTCATGTTGAGCTTCTTATCCAGCGCCTCCAAGTCCTTCTTCTCAAGGCTGAGGCTTGAGGCTCTCAATACATTCTCCCCCAAACCTGTATTTGTGCCTGGAAATACCTTTCTTGCTGGAAAAAGATCAGCAGCACCTTCAGGGACCTCTCTGCAGCTTGGTTTTCCTTTCCACAGCCACCCAGCTGGACAAACTTATACCCCAAAGCTGCTTTCCAGGCAGGATGATCCAAGATCTTGGAAGAAAGCAGGGAGAACCGAGGCTGGGATGGCAGCAGCTGGAAGGAGAGAGGAGGGAACGAGGCCCAGCTGAAACCCATCTGCTCTGAGGCTGAAGGTGCCTTTCTCTACAGGGCTTAAGGGGCCACAGAGGAGAAAGCACCTCGAGAAAGGTTTCCATGAAAAGGCTCCCTGCCAGGCAGACAGTGGGGAAAAAACTGTAGGTGCATGAAATGGGTGAGGAAAGGAAATGTTCCAGCCTTTTAAACCATCCCCACCATAAAAAGGAGGGTGAAGCTGCTGTGACAAGTGGTTGGGAACAACAGCCCCACGAGGGGACAGCCCGAGAAAGGATGACCCCCTCCCCCCAAAAAAATCACAGCAGGTCACTCGCACCCCGCACGTGCTAAAAATCACTGCAGGGGTGCAACTCCACCACAGTTCCTGAGCTGCAAACCACTGAGGCATGGAGGAATATTATGGGATTGTACCAGCAACCCCCTCCTGCCATCCTCTTCCTCCCAGGGAGGCAGATCTCTCCTTGACCTACCCCCCCCCACCCCAGCCTCTCCAGCTAAACCCTGAACTGAACTTGATTTTTTAATATATATATATATTTTTTTTTCCCCCTTCTTTTTTCCTCTCAGCTGTAACTGCAACATCCTCTCCCCGAAAGGTTCATCACCAGCCCTCGGTGCTAATGAAAAAATGTGATAATGTTTGCCTGCTTCCTGGGGGTGGTGGGAGGCACAATCTAATTAAAGGTTTGCCAGCAGCTCCAGCGCTGCAGATGGATGGTTGGTCGGGAAGTGCAAAGTACTATTATTATTATTATTATTATGACGAATGCTAACACCGGCTTTCATAAACAGGCAACAGGGGAGGTGAAGCAGGTGGCACGAGCGCAGGCAGGGCTTGTTCTGCTGCCTACACCCTCATTTCAGCCTTACATCAACGTGGGCCCCGAAGGGTGGCAGAGGCAGATCCTATCTCTGCCCCAGGAAGAGCATTTGGCTGGTTTTTTTTGGGGGGGGAGGGAGGTGTTGGCCGGGTTCCTTGGCAAGAGGAGGTGAGATATCACCCTTGGGATGTTCAGCAGCTCCTTCCTGCCTTGGGATGGGCAGGTCACTGAGTCCCAGGACTGTTGGCAGCCAACAGTGGCCAACAACATCAGGATGCAGTTACACAAGGCAAAAATCCACCCCCGAGACATGGCCCAGGGCAGCCCTTTGGGAGCCAGGTATGGATCTGGGTGCAAATATACCCTTGGTGTCCTCCAGCCAGTGGGGCCAGTGCACAGACACCAGCTGACAATTGAATTTATACCCTGAAAAAACACAATTCAGGCCTCCTGGTTGATATTAAGGTTGCGTTAAAAGCCATACTCGATTTAGGACCGTCCTGGTATTTCTGTCATAAATGGGGAGGGTGGCTTGTGATGGCATCTCTCTATAATAATCCATCTCCAGACCAAACACCTTCAACCTTCACGCCCTTGTTTGGGTACCGAGGCTATTTACAAACGTGGCATTTTTACCCAAACCAAAAAAATCCCTCATTCTCATCCAGAAATGAGCACGGCCTGTATTTTCTTGCTTAATCACAGGCTGTATCTCGCCTCCGTCGCTGACCTTCATACCTGGGGAAAGAACGTGCTCCCGAGCTGGAAAACAAATTATCCAGCCCCGTGCTGACCGTCCTGGGATGTTTGTAGGAGCTGGGAGTTAATGAGGCAGACCCAAAATATTCCAGACACTGGGTGCTACGGAGGGGAAAAGGGTTTTTGTGGCCACGCAGTGACAAGGGACAAAGAAAACCTTGGGGTTATTCCAGACACCAGGTGCTATGGAGGGGAAAAGGGTTTTTGTGGCCATGCAGTGACAAGGGACAAAGAAAACCTTGGGGTGAAAGGAGCCGGGGAGGATGAAATCAACCCTCTCCCGCCTTCGAAAAGCAAGGAGAGCTTTTAAAAAACCCAGGTCAGCTTTAAAATGCTGTGTCCTGGGATGGGAATAACCCCTGGCTTTTGGGGACAGCCAGGAGGAGGGATGGTGGCTGCAAAGGTGACTTCGACCTCAACCAGAGGAGGTCCTCCTCAACCGGAGCTGGTCCAGCTCCAGCTCCTCCAGTCGCTGCTGCCCTCATGAGGCTGTTCCACGGAAATTGGGATGTTCCTGCTGTTTTCCAAAGGGAAATAACTCGGAAACCCTTAGTTAAATTCGGGTTGGGTCCTGCGGCACTGCAGGTAACTCGGTGTGTCAGCCACCACGTAGGGTTTTCTTGCAAATAGGGTTTTCTGCCTTTCATAGAATTGTCGAGGGTGGAAGGGACCTTTAGGATCTACCTATTTGGAGGTGGCAGCGAGTCCTGTCTCCCCCAGTCACTTCCTCCCCCCCATCACATCTCATCGTAGCAGCAAGAGGAATTTCTGCAGTTTAGGAAAAAAAAAGGATCCACCTATTTGGAGGTGAGACAGTGAGTCCTGTCTCCCCCGGTCACGTCTTATCGTAGCAGCGAGAGGAATTTCTGCAGTTTAGGAAAAAAAAATAAATAAATCTCCCACTCGGCATAAAAAAACCCAACTATCTGCAAAATGCTCGTCGTGTTCGGCGGTAACAATTTATGAGACTTAATTGCGGGGCGTTTATCAGATGGATTTACAGAGATCTATTGCTCCTCTGCTTAATTCTCTTTGCACTGAGCCTGTTTTTGCCTCCTGACACCCAGCCCTGCAACATAAACCAGCTCAGTGGGGGGAATGCAGGAAAGCTGGCGTTCAGGGAAAGCTGGTTAATCTTTACAGCACTGTTAATCAGCAATAAAATCCAGGCTGTAGCCCCCTCCCCCCTTCAGCCTCCAGGGACCTGCCCGTTTGTGTTTGAGCATCAATGTGAGCACAAAAATCAGCCTCCATCCATCCCCCCACACCCTCCAAAACCAATCCCCCAGCAGCGAGAAGGCTCCAGAGCAGAGCATCCTTCCAGCCCCCGGCTTTGAGACACCCACGGTTGCAATTCAGCTTGTGCTGGTGTTTATTTTACATATAATTAATTTTTTTATTTTTTTTTTTTTAAATCCTGGTACTCACAACTGCCACCTTTTCCTCCGATCTAGGAGGAGATAGATATTGCACTTTTTTTGCAAGAAATTAGCTGGCGCAGGGAGGCTAAAAACAACGCGTTGTGCCTTTTTCATCTCGCTTTCCAAGCGGAAAGGGTTCATTTTCAATGGAAAACCGGGATGTTTTATGAATCCCTGCTGCTTAGCCATGTATCTCCCAGCCCTTCAGGCTCTGCAGGTCTGAGGGATGGATTTGTCTAAGCTATTATTACGCCCTCTATAATTTATCAGACTTAAATTTAAGGATATCAGCTCAGCGGGGATTTTTATTTCACATTTATTCACTCTTTCAGCCTTCGAGTGAACAGGAAAACTATTAACAAAACCCTTCTTCAGTTCAAAGCTCCGGTAATAAAATCTGTATCGTGCACAATCAAGCCACGGTGTTGCAAATTTGACGTAATCTTGCGTTTAACACTCTTTTAGTCTTCCTCCCTGGGATGATGCCTTGGTCTGGAGGTGCACGACCTCAGCCAGGAGGTTTCCCTGCCTTCAATCACTGCGGGTCAAAGCCTCCAGGGGCTTGGAAAAGTCAGCTGGGCCGAAGGATGCTCTCCATCACCATGGAAACACGCCCGGGAACCCATCGGACGAAGCGATCTCATTCCTTTTTCGAATTTCTGCACTTCATTTTGTTGCTGAAAATAAAAAATCACTGCAAATGGGTGCTCATTTCAGAGACGGTGATACTCAGGTATGGATGGAGCTGCCACCTGTGAGCTCAGCGTGCTTGAAAGGTGGAACTTTGCTCTTCCGAAATATAAATATATCATTAGATTTTAATTATTTCCTTCCTTTTTTTTTTTTTCTTCTAGAAAACGGATTCTGCTTGTGTTCTTCACTCTTCATCAGACCCATTCAGGAAGGCGGCTTGGGAGCTGGTGTCACACTTTTGCTGCCGGACTCCCAGGTTGATGTAGGGCTCCCCGCTGCCTCGCGTGCACCTCTGGATGCACCTGGAACACACGGGTGATAAATCACCATTAGCCAAAAAAACCCAAACCTGTCCCCTCACCAGGCTCTCTCCCTTAGAGAATCACAGAGTTGCCTAGGCTGAAGGGACCTTTAAGACCATTGAGTCTCCAACTGTCAACCCAACACTGCCCAAACCACCGTTAAACCATCATCTTCACCCCCCCATCTACCCCTCTTTTAAAAACCTCCAGGGATGGTGACTCCACCACTTCCCTGGGCAGCCTCTTCCAATGTTTGATAACCCTTTTGGGGAAGACATTTTTCCTAATAGTCAATCTAATCCCTCCCCAGCCCAGAGGCTCGTAGGCTGTAGGAGCACCCCTGAAAGTGGGATAATGTCCCCTTCCTATCCCCTTGGAAAAGCCATCCTTGGGGCTGGTGATGTCTTGGCCATCAGACCGTGGTGTTGCACCTCCAATAACTCAGTGACTGTCGAGCGCTTCGAAATCCTTGCAAGGGAGGGGACAAAATGTCAGGGGCTCCTGATAATGCTTTGTTTTCTCTATCAAATTAAAGTTTGACTTAGAGTACCCAGTGCAGAGAAAAAAAACAAACAGTGTGACTTCCAGGAGCAGCTCCGGGGGCTCAATTATTTGACTCCTCCGTGTTCAATGCTCTGGCTGACACTGTTTTGCATTCTGTGCAGTCAACAAATAATGTGTACAGTCGTCGCCGTGCCCTAAAACTTGCAGCAGTCAGGGCCTGCTTATTCAGCTGTGACTTTGTTCTCCAGGAGAACATCTGCCTCTCACTCCAGCCATCCCCATCCCTGTCCGCCCACCCTCCTTCCTGCCCCCCAAAAACTCATGCCCCAGTCATACCAGTAAGCCAGAGTGTAGTTTACAGCCAGGACAGCCACGGCGGCCGCCCAGTGCCAGAAGAAACACATGGTGAGGAACATGATGTTGCTGTGGTCCTCCTCATTCCACACTGGACCTCCCCATGGCCGGAACAGCACGACCCCGATCTGGGTGGAACAAGAACTTTATTGCTTTTTGGGGAAGAAAAAAATAAAAATCAATGTACTGGAGGCCTCCAGCACCCTCTGTCCATCTCGGTTCTCACCACGATCCATGAGGTGACCGAGGGGCTCAAGCTTGGACCGGGTGTGTTGGTTTTTCTGAGACAGCACTGGGCTCATTGCAGTCCAGCCTCGCAATGGGAGGTCCCACCAAGCAAGTCTGTGCCTGCAGTCTTTCTTTTTCTCTACAATACTCAACCACGATTCGTCCCTCTGCATTGCAGACTCTGAGCCACCCTTTAAAAACTCCCAATTTCACGTTTTGCTAGCTCAGCACAGTTTTTAGTCTTTGAATTTGAGTTCGCGCAGCAGCCCTGGGGCTGAGGAAGAGGAGGGGAACTCGCATCTCGTGTCAGCAGCCCAGTTTTGGGCAGTGGTTATCATCTCCAGCTGATTTCTTTGCCTCCCCAACTACCACCAGAGCCAGACACCAGCCGTGTTTTTAACTCAGCCATTTCATTGCTTGATGGGGTTTGCATCTTCCCACTAAACCAGAGGGAGTGCTGCAGGGTGCATTAGACACATTAAGCAATTAGTACGTGGTCGTTAGATACTGCAGAATGTTGCTTGCTGAGTGTGAGCACTCGCATTTGATGGTTCCTCCCCCCAAGAGAAGCAACAAGCCAAGACAAACGGCTATTGCAGCAGGAGCAGTCATCAGAGATGACCTGTGATGGGTGAATTTTCATCCTGGGTTATGATCTATTTATGAAGCCAGCCCAGCAAAATTATCCTTCGGAGACGTGCGATTGATGGGTGATGTACATCTCCTTCTCCTCTTTTCCCCTTGCTCTCCTACCTCGGTGCTCTGCTCCGCAAGAGGAGGCAGAACTGACCTGCCAGAACCACGTTCCCTGGACGATGGTGACGCCGGCTCTGAACATCTCCAGGACAATGTTGTCGCGGAGGAAGACCTCCAGCATGACGCTGCAGGCTCCTGAGAAGATGGCGATGAGCAGCAGGGAGTGGATGTGCTGATCCAGCATGGGGCGGTGAAGGACGTGGTAGTAAAAGAGACAACCTGCCAAAATAAGCACCATGCTGTAACACCACCAGCCTTTGACCACAGAACCCTGGTAGAGTAAATCGCCCGCCTGGTTGGGGAATTGAGACAGGTCATCATGAAAACAAGGGACTCCACATAGAATTACAGAATCATAGAATGATTTGGGTTGGAAGGGACCTTAAAGATCATCCCATTCCACCCCCTGCCCTGGGCAGGGACACCTCCCACCACACCAGGTTGCTCCAAGCCCCCTCCAACCTGCCCTTCAACCCCTCCAGGGATGGGGCAGCCACAGCTTCTCGGGGCAACCTGGGCCAGGCTCTCCCCACCCTCACAGCAAAGAAGCTCTATCCCACATCTCATCTCCATCTCCCCTCTTTCAGTGTCAAACCCTTCCCCCTCGTCCTATCTCTACATGTGCTTGTAAAAAGTCCCTTCCCACCTTTCTTGTAGGCCCCCTTCTGATGCTGGAAGGCCACTATGAGGTCCCCCTGGACCCTTCTCTCCAGGTCTCCCACCATCCTGGAGGGATGAGGTGCCCAACCTAGGGGCAGGAAGATCTGAGCAAGATGGAGACCAACAGAAGGGTGGTTTTCTTCCCATGCCGGTGCTGTCACCTCTTCAGATAACCTTCCCCTCTTAGCCAGGCTCCTGCTGTGTCCTACTTTTCTGTCGCTAAACCTCATCATTTTCTTAGGAGCTGGAAATGATAGATTTCCTTTTCTTACATGCCAAACTCTGCCTGTTGCGCTGCCCCTGCTGTGACTTCAAAAACCTCGGGAAACGGGGAAAAGGAAAAGAACAAGAGATGTGCCTTCATCAGGGGGTTTTCTGTATAAGCAAGACCTTCATTTCCTATTGTCTTTTCCCTCTGTGATCCAAGAGGGGTCTGAAATCCTGGCTGGCAACCCGCAAGACAGCCTGAAGCCAAAATGATATTCATGATGTGCTGAAGCTGGAATAAGTCACTCGACTCCGCCACGTGCAAGGCAAGCAGATGAGGATGACGATGCCTGCAGAGCAATTAATGGCTCTCGGGGGAGAACGCGGGGCACGCAAACAGCTCTGTAGACACAAGATAAATGCAGCGTCCACCAGCCATTTATCATAAGGAGGAAACTCATCCTGCTGCCTGCTACCGCTGTCACCCCAGAAATCCCAAACCAGGACCTAGTGATGCCTGTATTTCCCATCTTGACACGGATTGCCCTTGGATAATACATCACCTACAACATGTCCTATCTTCAGGGGCCTTCAGAGCAATATCTCACTCCGGCAAACGTTGGTCCCTCCCCGACTCGCCCTCCAACATCCCTCCCAGAATTAAGCACCACCTTCTACCCACCTTCGACGAACACGGCCACGGAGAGCATGAGGCGGTCCAGGCCCCGCGGCACCACCTGGGAGATGTAGGTGAAGACGTCCACCACCCCGGAGAGGCCGTAGAAGAGGTACATGGTGGTGTGCTGCCAGTTCATCAGCTTCACCCAGTCGTGGTTCTCCCCGCTGTAGAGGTACATGTGTGGACCATCTGGGACGAACTGCTCTGCCAGCATCCCTGCACGGACACCCAAGAGCACCCCATTTCTGATGGTTCATACGCAATGATGGTTGATGCTACTCATTGCTGTGGGGCGGATCTGAAGCAAGAGCTGATGGTTTTGAGTTAAGGGGGGGAAGGACCGGATATAAAAATCCTGTATTAATGGTAGCTCTGCTTTGGGAAGGGCTACGAGACTTGGTCTTTTCACATCCAACTCTCTTAGACATCAAGACAAGGTGAACATCAAGGATGTATCCTTCCACGCCTGGACCAGTTTCTCTGGAGTAAGGGCTACAGGCTGGGAACTAGTAAAATATAACCCTTACCTATTAGAGCGAAGATGATTTTGACTCCCCCTTCGATGGCATCCACGCGTTGGAAACAGTAAGTCCTGTGGGATTTCTTATTTGCTGTCTGGCTGAGATACCGCAGCGGGTACTTCACAGACCACCAGAGCCCAAAGAGGAGGAAGAAACTGCCTGGGAGAGCGTGACCCTTGAAGTTCGCCATCCTGACAACCTCCTCCGGCTGCAAGGCAAAGAAAAACAATGTCATTATACAACTTAAACCAGTTATTTGACATAGCACTGGGGAAAAAATGGGTTTTTTCTTGTCAGAGAGGACTGGAAAAGTCTTGACCAGGCGTGAGGGAATAGGAAGAAGCACTGAGGAACCCTCCAAGGGTGGGAGGTGGGACCTCTCTGAGGTCTTGGCCCCAGGATTAGGAAATACCCAAAAAAGCCAGAGCCCAGGCTAGTTTAGCAGAGGCCCCGTATCTGCTGCAATCTCTGACACATCCCAGCCTGAACTTTGCATCCCCCGGGATCCCTCCCAGCTCCTCCTATTCCTACCCTTCTGCAGGCACGAGCGAGAGCATCCGCTGCAGACCAGGGCAAGGTGGGCTTTTTGGGACCATGCAGGAGAGAAAACAGTGAGGTCTAGGGGCAAACATCAGTGGGTTTCTTCAGCTCCTTGAACAGCCACAGAAGTGATGTGCTACGTCCAAAAATTTTTGAAATTCCCGGAATTTTTCCAGCCCAAGGAGGGGAAAGAAAAAAAAAAACCCAACTCATGCCACATCTATTTTGCAAAGCCAAAGCATTTTGTTAACAATTTATCTTCCAAAAAAAACCAACGCTCCAAAAGCTGCTGGAAATAAAACATTTTGGTTCTGGGCAGAGAAAATGACTTGCTCCCTGCATCACCACCTCCTCCCACCCTTTCTTCTCTCTCCAGAGCATCACTAAGCCAGGATTTGCACTGCAAGGAGCCCCGGGGATCCCAGCAGAGCTGCTGGAGCCTCTGTGCCTGAGCACACACACGTGCACCGGTTGCAGGAGGGCCGGGGGACCCGTCTCCTAGGAGAATTACAGCAATTAAAACCCAGCCGGCTCCTGTTTGCCATTTGCTGGTTTGCTTAATTAGGTGGAGAACCGATTAGCTCTTTGATGTGGGCTCGAGCATATGTTCGGGGGCCTGCCTTGGCGCGATCGCAGGTCGGTTGTGTCAGGCTGGTCAATTAGGATTATTATTTTTTTTTTAATTGATAGCAAAGGCTGGGCTGCCAGCACCCAGGACTCCCTTTTCTATTTATTAACGCTCTTTTCCATGCCGAGCTGAGCTTAACACCGGGCAGAAACCAGGTCTCTGGTGGCGTGGATGCATGCATGCATCCATCCATCCATTCATCTACATAGCATGGACCCATGGAATTTGGTGACCAAATTGGTGACCTCTCCATGACAGACTCCCATGACCCTGTTATCCTTAAACCACCTTTTGAGGCTGCATTTTGGGCTTCAGCCCCCACCTGCTGGAAATATAAAGCAAAAAATGCTCTTATCCTGCTGTTGACTGCCTTCTACGTAAAGGATAGTTAGGGCATGAGGTTGACCATGTCTTGTTCTTTTGAGGCTGCATTTTGGGCTTCAGCCCCCACCTGCTGGAAATATAAAGCAAAAAATGCTCTTATCCTGCTGTTGACTGCCTTCTACGTAAAGGATAGTTAGGGCATGAGGTTGACCATGTCTTGTTGATGCCAGCCTTTGAGAGGAAGAGCGATTGCTTTGGCTTTATGAATGTCTCATTTCAGGTCGGTTTGTCCCAGGGACACCTCGTTTCTCCCCGTTAAACCCACGCCCAAGAGGGTTTGGGTTTCTCTTGGGAGATACCATCTCCCAAGAGGCAGGAAAATCCACCGGGTGAGATCAGCCCTGTCGCCGACCTGCCCAATTTGAACTGGTTTAACCAAACCTGGCTTGATCCAACACCTGGAGGTAAGCAAACATTGCCAGCTCATGCAAACACCACCCTGGTGCAGGCAGCTACACAGCTGATGACCTTGCCCTCACCAAGTACCCATGAACTACCACCGAGGGCTTCATGACAACAAATTTAGGAGGGGATTTAATCCGAGGGTGGAAAAGCCATGCACGGGAAGGATTATTTTTTGACCCTATGGGCAAGCAGCTTTGCAGGCAGCCGTTAGCAGCACCGCAAGGCTCTGCCTTATTTCATGACTTGAAAGGAGAGATTTATTGACAGTGGGTGCACCGGGTAATTAAACACAAAATCAAAGCAAGACGCTTTTTACCGGCAACGGTAGCACAGTCCAGTGGATTAATACAATGGCCTTTTTTTAGTCCTTTGAAAAAAAGACAACCAGGGAATCGGAGCATCCACCTGTATCCCTGTGGATTAAGGGAGCAGCACACCTGAGCCAGGGAAGTGGCTGAGAAATCTGTATTTTCTGGGTGAAATATGGTTGCATACATGCCATGGTAGAATATCAGGTTAACAACTGAAAGCAGAACTCAGCCCACACCAGAATACCAGGACAAGATGTACCACAGCCATATCATGCCATATCAACACTACAACACTTCCACAGCAATACAGAGTCAAATATATGTCACCTGTGACTCCCAAGTCACAGGCGACAGGACGAGAGGAGACGGCCTCAAGTTATGCCAGGGGAGGTTCAGGCTGGATATTAGGAACAATTTTTTCACTGAAAGGGTCATCAGGCATTGGAATGGGCTGCCCAGGGAGGTGGTTGAGGCCCCATCCCTGGAGGTGTTCAAAAGACGGGTTGATGTAGTGCTGGGAGGTCTGGTTTAGTGCCTCATCAACTGGCCATTTTAAAAGCAGATATTTAATGGGACCTGATGGTTTCCTGCATGAGATCGCCACAGTCAAAACAGGAGGAACTAAAGGATACATATAACCTTGTCAACCAGCCATTTTAAAGGCAGATGTTTAATGGGACCTGATGGTGTCCCACAGGAGATCACCACAGTCAAAACAGGAGGAACTAAAGGATACACTGACCCAGCAAGGAAACTTAAAGATTGCTTTAAATAGAGTCCAGCAGCCAGCACACCCACCTTGCAGGGTGATGGGGACTGTTTTGGGGTTCTTGCCACCTGTACCCACCCAATCCCTCACCTGGAGGAAGCAAGGTGGCTTATCTGGGATGCGTCACCAGCCAAACTATTTCCCCTGCTTCTCTTCCTCCTCTGAAAACATACAAAAGGTGAGCACAGAGGGGGGGGGAAATAATAATAATAATAAAAAAAAAAAAAAGCCAAACCAATTATCTTTTCAACGGTGAGTTCCCTGGAGCCAAACAGGCTCTCGTTTGTCCTTACAGCTCCAAAGGCAGCCAGATTTTTGCCTGCGGTCACTGGGGAGCAGATAAAAAGCTGAAGGTCCAGCTGATGTTGGGGTTGGCACCACCAACCACCACCCCCAGGGCATCCCTGCGGGGCCTGACTTTGCCCCTCTCCCTCGCCGTCGAACGTGGCGCGGTCGGCAACGCCACCACGTAACGAGTTGTAATTAATGCACTTTGCCCCCTGTTTATTCCAACGCCGCGCTTAATGATTTACCGTTTCATCTGCTCTTACTGCCTCCCAAAAGAGCTGGTTGCCTCTTGGTTTATGGTTAATGCATGCAAACACATGGGGAGGCTGTCACCCCCTCCTCCTGCCCTTACCCTGGCAGCCAAAAATAGTCTTTTTTCAGCCCAAAACCCTGGACTGTTTGAGTTTTCCAAAGGTCTCATTCGCTTTACCAAACACTTTTTTTTTTTGCAAAGGTCTTATTAGTGTGTTGATAATGTCTCGGTCAGGGCATCACTTCCATTTTCTCCAGCTTGGAAATTACAGTCTAAAGTTCTCCAGTGGCAACAGCTCGCAGCCATCACCCCCCTGCAATTAACTTTGCCCTTAGACCTCTGCAAATCAGGCAGTTCAACCACACCAGAGCTGGTTTGCTCACCGTGGGACCTGCTGCCTGGATCTCAGAGCATCTGCAGGTCACAGGGATGGTCCCCGGGGAAAGGCTGACTCAGAGGAGAAATGTCTCGGGTCACGAAAAAAAAGAAAAGAAAAAAAAAAAAAAACAGGCTGGGCTGAGGCTCAGCTGGGGAACGTCACTGAGGTGTGGATCTGGAAAGACCGAAGCTATTTCTAAGGCTTTCGAGGTGGTTTGTGTCTCCTCCTGCTCAATCTGAGGCTGCAGGAGGAGAGCATCAAACCCAGACCGACAGACCAGCAGTGGATGAGGTGCTTTGGCCAAAAAAAGCATCCTCCATCAGCTCATTTCCTACTCTGCCTGCTCTCCATGAGTATCTCCCCGTACAACACAACCCCACGGCCCAAATCCTCCACCTGGGGGGGAATGATAGAATGGTTCATGTTGGAAGGGACCTTCAAGATCATCAATTCCACCCCCTGCCCTGGGCAGGGACATCTCCCACCAGAGCAGGTTGCTCCAAGCCCCCTCCAACCTGCCCTTGAACCCCTCCAGGGATGGGGCAACCACAGCTTCTATTCCAGGCTCTCCCCACCCTCCCAGCAAAGAAGTTCTTCCCCACATCTCAGCTCCATCTCCCCTCTTTCAGTGTCCAACCCTTCCCCCTCCTCCTATGGCTCCCCTCCCTGATTCAGAGTCCCTCCCCAGCTTTCCTGGAGCCTCTTTAGGGACTGGAAGAGGTGATGAGGTCTCCCCAGAGCCTTCTCTTCTCCAGACTGAACCACTCTCTCAGCTCCAGCCCTCCAAGCATCTCCATGGCCTCTTTTGGACACCAACAGGTCCAACAGTCCAGCAATGGGGTAACTGGAGAAGAAGAGAGGGAGATGTCCCCTCTGAGGACAGAAAGACGGCAGAAGAGACACCCAAGAGACATCAGCAGAGGCATCACCTACGAATACCAGCTCTCCTCCTGCCTGCTGCCTCTCTCCATTACCAGCGCTGTCTTATTTGTCTGCAGAGGCACTTCTAACCCTAGCAGCACTTCCATTAGCTCCCTGAGGGGCTGGATCCCTAATGCATTAACGTCAGGCTAAAACCCCACTCTGAACCATTTCATCCCATTATCCTCGGTTTTCCTTCTATCTCTGCCTCCGTCTGCACCGGGGAGTGTTTGTGGTGACACCCAACAATCATGTTATTCGTTAATAATACTCCCAAGCCCGGCCACATCTGCCAGCCCAGGAAAGCAACTTCTCTGCCCCTAAAAGATCCTGGGGGGGCTTTAGCCTTAGGTTAAAAAATAACATCATCACTGGAATCTATTGGGCTCAATTGCTGGGGAATATCTGAAGGACCATCAGGAGCGGCTGTTGGTGGACTAGATGACCTTTGGAGGTCCCTTCCAGCCTGGACAACTCTATGACATAGGAGACAGATCGAGCTAATCTGAAAACAAAGACCCCCTGTCATGGGAAAAATCAATGTGGATGTTCAAACTGGGATGAAGATGTCACACCTGAGATCTGCTCAATAGACACAACGGACCCAACTGGAAAGAGGCGCTGGGAGAAGAGAGAGACCGAAGCCCTGGTGATGGAGAGGGAGATGTCCCCTCTCTCTCTGCTTTGGACTCTCCATCCCCGCCGTCAGGGAAGCAGCTCCGAGTTACAGCCCAGCAGAGAAAGCTGAGAAATAAAACAAATTAGCCAAAGCCTTCTTAATTACAGTGGCTCGGAACGGGCGCTTCGTCATCCTTTTGCTTCTCTTTACAACCCGCGTTCGTTTGTTTGTGGGTTTAAGGCAACGAGGTCTGACTTTAAAAATGATCTGTTTGGGAAAACGCGTGTTATCCTCTTAAAAGTGATTTTTCTTCGCCTCTGAGAAGAAAAGAAGCAGCATTCTCTTCTGAAGAGAATTAAAGTGCTCTCCAGTGGTGGTGGTTGCCCCAGCTCCGCGATGGGCGATGATGGAATAGCCCTGACTCCACCAACCCCCGTTGCCTCACAAGCACCGACCCAACACAGGGACTGAAAACCAACACTGCCACCACCAACAACGCCAAAAAACCCTCATATTTTTCCAAAGATGAGACCATTCCCCGTCCTAGAATTGTCCCCCCATCGCCCCACAGGGTAAGTGCTCCTCCCCGCTGCCTTCAGCATCCCTCAAGAAAAACTCTCCAGGACGAGAGACTAAAGAAACCCATTTCCAGCACAATATACCCCAGATATATCCAATTATTCACCTTAAGCACATAAAAACCAAGCCCGTTGAGTACCTCCCCGTCCCTTATTTTATCAGTTTGTGTTATTTTTAACTCCAAGCTGGTAGGAAGAAGGAAGAAACCCTTCCCCAGCTGCGCCCTGCGAAGGGAGGCACCGTCCCTCGGGGAGGGCAATCCCCTGGACGCCACTTTTCCTCCTCATCTGCACGTTTTCAGGCACTGAAAGAGGCATTTTGGGGGCAATTCCGCCGGGAGAGGAGGGTGGGGAGAGAGTTTCTGGTTCAGCGCACCACAATTTGGCGGTGATTTTTGTTCTAGCTGTTCAGGGCAGAGCTTTTACATTTAATTTGGCTGGGGAGCAGAGCAAGGAGGGTCCTGATGAGGGGTTCGGGGAGGTTTGGGGGGGTCTCCATGCCACCACGTGGCCCCACTCTCCCCTCAACCTGTTTTCGAGCCCCACATACCCTGTTTTTATTTTCCAACTTCCTCCTTGGAGAGCGTTGCTGCCCCATCGTGCCCCACTGCTGTGGGGGCACCAGCAACCCCCCCTTCTGCCCCATCCCACCAGGACCCTGGGGTGATGGGACACCTCTGGTGGGTCGAGGACCCCACACACCCCTATGTACCCCCCCCAACCACACCCCAGTTTGCTTTTACAAGTGGAGGGGGTCTGGGATGACTCACCCCAATCTCTCTCCTCCCCCCTACGGGGCTGCTTGGGATGCCAGATTGAGGACCCCGGGGTGGTGGGACACCTCTGGTGGGTCAAGGACCCCACACACCCCTATGTACCCCCCCCCAAACACAACCCAGTTTGCTTTTACAAGGGGAGGGGGTCTGGGATAACTCACCCCAATCCCTCTCCTCTCCCCCTATGGGGCTGCTTGGGATGCCAGATTGAGGACCCTGGGGTGGTGGGACACCTCTGGTGGGTCTAGGACCCCACACACCCCTATGTACCCCCCCAAACACACCTCAGTTTGCTTTTACAAGGGGAAGGGGTCTGGGCTCACCCCAATCCCTCTCCTCTCCCCCTATGGGGCTGCTTGGGATGCCAGATTGAGGACCCTGGGGTGGTGGGACACCTCTGGTGGGTCTAGGACCCCACACACCCCTATGTACCCCCCCAAACACACCTCAGTTTGCTTTTACAAGGGGAAGGGGTCTGGGATCACCCCAATCCCTCTCCTCTCCTCCTACGGGGCTGCTTGGGATGCCAAATTGAGGGGTTCCCCCCTATCCCCACCCACCCAAAAAGGCGGGAAGAGATGGAGACCCTTCCCCTCCCATCTACAGAGGAAGGGGGGATGTGGGGTGACCCCCATGGCTCGGGGTGATGTTCCCCAGCCCCTTCCCAACACGAAGCCCCCCTCCCTCCCCAAACCAGACCCTTACCTGCCCCACAGATCCTGCGGCCGTACCTGCGCCCAGGTGAGCCCTGCTCCTCCCCTGCCTGAGGCACCTGCCTCCTCCCTGCCTCCAGCTCCTGCCTCCTCCCTGCTCCCAAACCACCCCCCTTCACAACAACAAGAGGGCAAAGACAACCTAGGACGCATTTAAAAAAGCCTACAGGTGCTTAAATTTGCACTTTCCCCCCAAAAAAACCCTCTTCCGATTTGAAAAACTTACCTTTTCCTTCCTCTCCCCCCCCCCCCATCTTTATTTTCTCACATTTCATTGCAATCATTAAACTTCTCCCAACACCTAAATCACAGAGGGGGTACTCCCTCCCCCCAGGGACCCCTGCACCCCCCAAACCACGACCTGCTGCCGAGTGGATTAATTTCTTTGGAGCACTTTATTTTCCGTGCTTCCCAGGTCGTGATGGATGCTCCTCTGGGGATCCCCCTACCCCCCTACCCCCATAACCCATATTTCAACTCCGAAGGCAATTTTCTGACCAGGCCTCCTATAAAAGGTAGTTTATTCTTAATAATACTTTTCCACTTTCATCTCCAGCCCTGCGAGTGCTTTACGAATGTTAAATAATTAACCCCCACGACGCCCTTGGGAGGGAGGTAAGCGTTATTATCGCTATTTGTAAAAGAAGGACTGACAGAGCCTTCTGTGCAACGGCCCTGCCTTTAACTCGCTTTCACAGAGCAGCTCAGGTACTTCCATCACTGAGAGCAAACACACCTGCCCCAGGGAATTTGCAGTAAGAAAGACCAATTTTAACGTTTTAAACATTTCCACCCCGTTTTATAAATGACTTCACGCTTAAAAGCGCTGTCTGGCAACCCCCTGTCTTTATTTTTTTTATTATTATTATTAAGATTTTGATTTATTAGAATCAAATTCTATTCCCTCACCCTGTCCTGGCGCTGTTGTTTAAACAGGTGACTTCTTGTAAAAATAATTATCCATTAATTCACCCTTTCTCACTGCTCGGGGAGGGGTGGGCTCTGCTGGAAGGGAGGAAGCACCCCCCAGGCATCCTCCCACCACTGATTTTTATCAGTGGTGGGGTTTGGATGCCCAAACTGTGCATGTTTTTTCAGGTGGGGCAATTCAAATTTTCCAGATGCAAAAGCCAAGCTCCAGGCATTTATTTTTTTTTAATTTTTTTTTTTTTTTGTAGCTTGGAAGCTCCTCCATTAAATTGGCCCATGAATGTCCTAGGAGCCTCCTGCCATTTTAATGCCTGTCCTGCAGGCCCTGGAATAAATCAGAATAAATCAGGCACATGGGAGGCTTTACCCCCAAAAATCTCCACACCTGAAACCAAGGTGAGAAACAAATGGGAGGAAAACAAGAGGTGGGATGGGGGGGGCTGGAAACATGAAGAATTATTTCACTGGGGATTTGCTGCCTCTGTGTGCAAGCTCATGGGGAAAAAAAAAATATAGGGGATATTCCCTAGATATAGGGAAAAAATATAGGTCCAAAAATACAACTGAAGCAAAAAAAGGCCATGTAGAAATAATGGTGATTAGTGGTGAAGTTGCTGGACTTGGTACATAAATCCCACGGCTCCTTTCATCTCAAAAAACCTGAGTTTAGCTAAAAAAACCCAGACCTTTAGCTAAACCTGGCTCAGAAATGGAAGCTTGCCCATTCCCAACGCTCCCCTGCGCCGCGTCGGGTGTTTCTCAGCTACCAGGAAATTTGCACCATCAAATATTTGCAGAGCGAAACCGCGGGGTGTGGGTGGGGATGGACCTTACTAGACGGAAACAAATAACCTCTCCATCTGTATTTATGGCAGTAAAGACCATCCCTGAGCTGGAGGTTCAACCTCAGCAAAGCTTCGCCTTTCCATGTGGTCCAGAGCAACCCATAAAACACCACAGAACACGAAATCAGCTCTAATTTATAGCCCCATCTTCACTAGAGCTCAAAACCCCTCGCTGTTCTTTAAACAGCCTTGAAATCCCATGCAAAGGCTGGAACTCATCTCAACCGTGCCCAGATTTTGGCACGGGGTCATCTCTGGAGGTGGGGGGGAGCCCTGGTCCCCACGTTGCACCACACACACACAAAAAAATACAAAACCCAGGGCCCGAGTCCTGATTAACAGCTTTTCTGAATCTTATTGCCTTCACATGAAATCCATCCTGGGGGAAAAAAATAAAATAAAAAAATAAAATAAAAAAATAAAAAATCACAGTCCCAGTTGTAGGAATTTTTGAGGTTTGTGTCCTGCCCATCTCTGATTTTCCACCTCCTGATGGCTGTTTTTCTCCCTGCCCTGTCCCACGCAGAGCTGCAGCCCCTAAGGAACTCTGACAGCAAAACAGCAACCTGCCGGCCCCACCGACACCCAAATCTGCAGGGTTTGCTGGAAAATAGGAGTTTGCTGCCCTGGGAAACACCTCAGGATGCTCTCTGGGAGGAGAACGTGCTCTTTGGTACCTGCCATCTCCGAGGATGCAGTGTCAGACACAGGCTGGAGCCTCCAGAGAGAAAAGGAGGGAGAGATGGGTAAATTAGCTCTGAATAAATTGCTCAGAGAAATCAGGGGGGGAATTTTTCTGTTAAAAAAAAAAAAAAAATCTGTAAATGAAGAGGTGTCAGAGCTGGGGAATTAGCTCCCTCGTTATCGTGTGCTGGCAGAAGGGATGGGTGGCAGAGTCCTCTGCTGGGTGGACACGCGTTGGGAGAGAGGAGCTGCCCGGGTTGCAATTTTAAGATGCAGGAAAATCAGGGGACAACCTGGAGAGCTGGCTCTCTGCAGGCACACTCATCCAGACATGGGTATTTAGGAGGTCCCTCGCTGGGAGAGCAATGTGTTTTCCATCCAGGATAATTACACCTTCTTTTCCTTTCCCTCCCCTCCTGCACCCGTGCATGGGGCCAGGGGAAACCTTGGCACCCACCACAGGCAATGTATCTGTGGGACAATGGTCACATCATAGAATCATAGAATGGGTTGGGTTGGAAGGGACCTCAAAGATCATCGAGTTCCACCCCCCCTGCCCTGGGCAGGGACACCTCCCACTAGAGCAGGTTGCTCCAAGCCCCCTCCAACCTGGCCTTCAACCCCTCCAGGGATGGGGCATCCACAACTTCCCTGGGCAACCTGTTCCAGTGTCTCACCACCCTCAGAGTCAAAAATTTCTTCCTGAGATCTAATCTGAATCTTTTTTCTTCCAATTTAAAACCGTTTCCCCTTGTCCTATCATTACCCTTCCTGGCAAAGAGTCCCTCCCCAGCTCTTCTATAGGCACCCTTCAGATAATGAAAGGCCGCTATAAGGTCTCCCTGGAGCCTTCTCTTCTCCAGGCTGAACAATCCCAGCTCCCTCAGCTGTCATCCAGCCACCAAATAAGCCACCTCCTACAGATCATCAGCCTTCCTGGTACCCAGGGAAGGATCCCTTCAAAGCATCCTGAGATCTCTTAGAACCAAAGAATGGTTAGAAGGGAGTTAGAAGGGACCTTAAAGATCATCAAATCCCTGGGCAGGGACACCTCCCACCACACCAGGTTGCTCCAAGCCCCCTCCAACCTGGCCTTCAACCCCTCCAGGGATGGGGCAGCCACAGCTTCTATTCCAGGCTCTCCCCACCCTCACAGCAAAGAGGTTCTTCCCCACATCTCAGCTCCATCTCCCCTCTTTTAGTGTCAAACCCTTCCCCCTTCGTCCTGTGGCTCCCCTCCCTGACCAAGAGTCCCTCCCCAGCTTTCCTGGAGCCCCTTGAGGGACTGGAAGGGGCAACGAGATGTCCCCAGTGCCTTCCCTTCAAGCTACCACCTGCACCATTTGCTCCTCACCCTTTAGTCCCCACGCTGGGTGGGAATGGGAGCGAAAAGAGCCCTGGGGAGGGGCAAACTGAGAATCAGCAAAGGAGACAAGGAGGGACCCGTTGAAGTCCCACTTGAAACGCAACCTAATTCTTGCTCCCGAGGAAGGAGTTTGCCAGATGGCAAAAGGGAGAAGATGAACAAATCCGACATGGCACATCTGCAGAGAGTAAAAACAGCATCCACGCACAGCAGGGCCGAACGGAGATCACTCTGGGGACAGGCTTGGCAGAGAAAGCAGACATAAGTGAAGAAAAAAACCCAAAAAAACCCCCAAGGTTTCTATTACAGACCCCCCCGTGACCCGGGCCGAACAGGGACTGCTCTGGGGACAGGCTTGGCAGAGAAATCAGACATAAGTGAAGAAAAAAACCCAAAAAACCCCCAAGGTTTCTATTACAGACCCCCCCGTGACCAGATCTCAGACCCCGGCTGGGTAAAAACAGACAAGAGGGGACTGGAATTAAATAAAAGCAGGGAGGGCTCAGCCACGATGTGATTCAAACTGCATCCATCCCAGCTGGATGGCAGCACAGCTTGGACAAGGCAAAAGCTCTAATCAGGGACAGGAGACCATTAAAAAGCAAATTGTGTAGCCAGATGAAAGAAATGTAAGAGAAAGAGAGCAGGAAAACAGGGAAAGGGAGATACAGGGAGAGGTGATGAAGCTTAAAGGTATTGCATCAAAAAGTGGGCAAAACTCTGGGAAAGTCTAACAGGGGCAAGCAGGAGAAAAAAAATAACTTACAGCTGACGTGGAGTGAAAGAAGGAGGCAGGCAACAACGTTCTCCATGAAACCAGCTCCATCCTGGCATCAGAGAGGGGAGAACACCTGCATGACCCCACCAGGAGAGGTACAGGTGGGCAGCCCCTGCCCACAGGTGTCTGAGGGCCAGGCCATCGATATGGCCCCTGGGAGGCAGGAAAATTTAAATCTTAAAATTTAAAAAAATCCCAGCTCCCCTGGGAGCTGCTCTGTTTTATTTCTGCAGTGATTTTTTTCTTTTTTTTTTTTTTTAATTTGCAGTGATCATTTCTCTCAGCTGCAGCACTTCTCGGCTAAATAAATTGCCATTTTCTCCCAGGCCCTTTTACAGGGAGCTGGTGCAGGCAGAGGAAGGGCACAGCAAAAAAAAAAAACAACCCAAAAAACGTCCCAAAGGTCTGATTTTGTGGTTTCGCCCCCCTCTCCTTCAAGCTGGGAGTGGAGCAAGGGCACAT